CTGTCTCTCTATGTCACTGCACTTACAGTATATCCTGTGAAGCACTTTGGGACTTCTTCCCAACTTGAAGAGACTATACCAAATATAACGATTACTGTTATCTTTATTATAAGTGGGGAAAAATATGTGAAAAATATGCAAAATAAATGCATTTATGAAGTTGCACGCGGAAGTTTTATAAAGTTTTACTAAATACAGTTGAGGATTAGTGATAGAAATACTGTAAAGACAGAGAAAGAGACACATAGAGAGACAGAAAAGACAGACAGAGAAAGGGAAAGAAACAGGAGCCACAGAAAGTTACAGCACAGAAGAAGCCATTTGACTTCTCATGTCTATGCTTCCTTTTAAAGTGCAATCTATTAAGTCCCTTTTACCAGCTTTTCCCCTATTACTCCTCCAGATTACCTACACGCTTTGTAAGTTTATGAGTGAGTTTAGTGAACTCTTATTGGTTTCTCTCAAGGGGGAGGGGAGGAGGGTATTGTTTTTAATGAAATCTTTTTACTAAACTGTTTAATGCCATTAGTGGAAAAGAGTTTTTTTTGAAAAACATCAGCATTTGGAGTCCTGTAACTTAGTGGTTAGAGAATTTGCCATGCAAGCGAGAGGACCTGGGCTCGATTCCCAACAGGGCGAAACCTTGGGCAAGTTTCCTTACTCCACACGTCTAATAATAGTCCCTCCAAAACAAAACAATAATAAATTGGTCACTTTCAATCCACGACTGTTTGTGGGACGCTGCTGTGCACAATTGGCTGCTGCGTTTCGCCCACAAATATACAGTCAATTCACTTTATAGTCAATTCTGTGAAGCGCTTTGAGATGTCGAGAAGACGTGAAAAGCGCTATATCAAATGCAAGGATTATTATTATTATACGCATTGTTTGTTTATCCACAAAGGGGCCATGTCCAGATTTTTCATGAGCATTGGTACCATTTCAAATAATGCACACAAATAGCCTCACAGTAGATGGAGCACTTGAAGGTCTAACATAATTTCTTCTGTAAATATTTTTCAGTCTTCAAATTACACATTTTTAAATCCCATATGTTACTTCATCAACGTTTGAAATCTGCAATAATGTTTTCTGAAGATCTTAAGACTGATCTGTCACTTTACATGCTTTTAATTTACAGGTATTGGTGTTGATGACATGTTCATTATGCTCTCCAGTTGGCAGAAGACAAAGGTTCATGCTGAAATTGAAGATCGCATGGCAGCCACATATGCTGAAGCTGCCGCTTCCATTACCATAACGACTCTGACTGATGTGATAGCCTTTTACATTGGTGTCATGACACCTTTTCGATCTGTGCAGTCATTTTGCTTGTATACAGGTACTACCGTTTTGTTCTGCTTTATTTACAACGTTACGTTTTTTGGGGCGGTTCTGGCACTGAATGGGAGAAGAGAAAACAGTAACAGGCATTGGCTGACTTTCAGGAAGATTCAAATGCACCATCAACCAGGAGAATTGAAATTCTATGGAATGTGCTGTGTTGGTGGGGAGTATGATGAGATGTCCGGTGCTGAAACAGAGCATCCAATTTATCTCTTCTTTAGGAAATATTATGGCCCATTCCTCACTATTATATGGACCAAGGTATTTGTGGTACTGCTGTATGCAGGGTATTTGGCAGGTGGTATCTATGGTTGTTTCCAGTTACAGGAAGGATTTGATCTTAGAAATCTGGCCACTAGCAGCTCATATGTGATTAAATTCTATGACCATGAAGATATGTTTTTCTCACAATATGGACCTCGGGTCATGGTATCAGTCTCAGAATCAGTGGACTATTGGAACACCAGTGTTCAGACTGAAATTGAACGCTGTATGGGCAAATTTGAAAATAGCACTTATGTAGATAGAGAGCTATCAGAGTCTTGGCTTCGAACATACATTGACATTTCTAAACTGATGTCTATTGATATAACGGCGTCTGATTCCTTCATAGCAAATTTACCTAAATTGTTTAAGATTGTCCCTTTATTTCAACAAGATATTGAACTCTCACAAGATAATAAAAGCATAACAGCATCACGGTTTTTTATTCAGACCAAAAATGTCAATGACTCAATTGCCGAAAAAGATATGATGGTTGAACTGAGAGATCTGGCCAAGAGCTGTATAATCCCTTTACAAGTGTATCATTCAGCGTTCATTTACTTTGATCAATATCTTGTTATACAGATCAACACAATACAGAATGTGGTTGTGGCAGCAGCTGCAATGCTGGTTGTTGCCTTGTTGTTAATTCCGAATCCAATTTGTTCTGTGTGGGTGACATTAGCTGTCGCCTCTATTTTAGCTGGTGTGGCTGGTTTCATGGCTCTGTGGGATGTTAATCTAGACTCCATATCTATGATTAATCTGGTTATTTGTATTGGGTTTTCAGTTGACTTCACAGCCCATATTTCATATGCATTTGTTTCAAATGACAAAGCAAGTGCCAATGAACGTACCATCGAAGCATTGTACACTCTTGGCTATCCCATTATCCAGGGGGCGCTTTCCACTATTCTGGGTGTTGTTGTGTTGGCTGCTGCAAACATTTACATATTTCGGACATTTTTCAAAATCATGTTTCTTGTCATATTGTTTGGTGCAATTCATGGCATCGTATTTATGCCGGTGTTTCTGACATTTTTTGGAGTGTGTGGCAAGCGAAAGGAGACACCAACTGAAATGGAAAGTACTCCAAAAAGTCAGTTGTCTATTGATTCGTTTTAGACTGAAGATCTTCTCCCCCTCCCTTGCCTCCTTCAAGACCTCTTTTAAGATCCTCTTCTTCAACCGTGCCTTCGATCATCCTCCTTGCCCCCCGCCCTTCACCCTCCCTGATCCCGATCCCCATGGGACTGGTCAGGTGGTCTTTTCGTATCCTGTCTACTTTTCTGCACTTAGATTCTGAATAACAATCAATGTTAAATCGATTGAATTCTGCTTGGGTGCATGTCTTTTTAAAGTTCTCTTTTTAATATTAATCTTTATACATGTTTCTATATATGTTTGTGTTCATTTGAAATTGTATGTCAAGAACATATTGTTCATTGTTTGTTGAATAAAAGCTTACGGAACAAAGATTCTTCCATTTTCACAGAAAGTTCTGTCTTTCTTCATCTCTGCAACATTGCTCATCTTTCTCCACTACCTAACACCAAATGCTGCCAAAATCCCCTTGCAGTGTGACAACCTAGTTTATAGCTTTACTAGTTATCCCGTACGTTTACAATGAAGTGACTATGGTTATTTTACACAGAGTTAATGTTTAATATATCATGCTCCCAAACAACCTGGCTCCTTCATTTATCTGTTCCATTAATTATTTTATGTAACCTTTACAAAATATCTCTGAAATATAACATTAGGAACATAAAGGTAAAACATTAACTTTTACTCGAGCTTATAAATATTAATAACAATATTGATGGATTAGTTTGTCATAACTTTAAATGCTATAATTTCTATAAAATAGATTGTGCAACTGATATGGAGCCTAACCTGCCCACTTTCTATGGGATGTGAAACACAATGCTGTCCCTGCAACTGGTGTATCTTCCTCTTCCCCACCCTACACACCCAGCACTCACGTCTTCTGCTTCTGTCCTCACACTTTTACCCTCTTCTCTCTCCCGTCCTTCTCCACCCTCATAACCCACCTGGAACCTACCACTTGCTCCCTTGACCTCCTCTCCCCACCAAACTGCTGCACTCCTAGCTGGTGGCTATAGTCAAGCTGTCCCTGTCTTCTGGCGCTGTCCCCTCTCCCTCAAAGCCACCGTCATCACCAACAACAATAACAGAGGTTATACCTTTAAATGGAAAATGATTTCAATGTAGAAAAGTGTGAGGTGGTACATTTTGGTAGAAGGAATAAGGAAGTCACATATATCCTGGAAAATAAAAACCTAAATGGGGTAGAGGAGCAAAGGGATCTAGGGGTACACATACACAATTCACTGAAAGTAGCATTGCAGGTTAATAAGACCATAACAAAGCAAACCAGGCATTGGGGTTCATTTTTAGAGGGATAGAAATGAAATGCAGGGAAGTGATGGTAAACTTCTCTAGAACCTTGGTCAGACCACACTTAGAATACTGTGTGCAGTTCTGGTCCCCACATTATAGAAGGGATGTAGAGGCACTGGAGAGGGGGCAAAGGAGATTCACAAGGATGATCCCCGATCTGAGAGGTTATACGGATCTGGAAAGGCTGAACATTCAGGGCAGGCTCGAGGGGCCGAATGGCCTACCCCTGCTCCTACTTCCTATGTACTTGGACTGTTGTGTCTTGAAAAGAGGAGGGTAAGGGGTGACCTGATAGAGGCCTTTAAAATGATGAGAGGTTTTAATAGGTTAGACATAGGGAAGATGTTTCCACTTGTGGGGAGACCAAAACCAGGCGCCATCAATATAAGATAGTCACAAATAGATCGAATAGGGAAGTTAAAAAAGAAATTTCTTCACACAGAGAGTAGCGGGAATGTGGAACATACTACCCACAAGGAGTTGTTGAGGCAAATAGATTAGATGTATTTAAGGGAAAGCGAGAGAGGTACATGAGGGAGAAAGGAATAGAAGATTATGCTTGAAGGCTTAGTTGAGGAAGGGCAGGAGGAGGCTCACGTGCAGCATAAATACCGGCATAGACCAGTTGGGCCAAATGGCCTGTTTCTGTGCTGTATATTCCAATATATTCTAAGGTAATAACAACTTGCATTGAGGGGTAGCATCTCAGAGTGCTTAACAGTGGTAGATTCTGAATCCGAGCGAGGGGAAGTGACCATAAGCATGGTTGAACAGGAATATCTTTAGGTGTGATCTGAAAATGGGGAAGATGGAGCGGCCCAGGTGGAGGGAAGTGGGATAGCGTTCCAGAGTTCAGTGGCATATTGGCTGAAAGCATAACTGCCGATGGTGGAGCAGAGGGGATCAGGGATCAGCAGGAAGCCGGAGCCAGCCAAGCAGAGGCGGCAAGTGGTAGACGGAAGAGTAAGCATGTCGGACAGACAGGGAGTTGCCAGGGTATGAAGGGATTTCTAGACGAATGTGAGGATCTTGGCCAATCCTTTCTGTGATTAGGAGCAGGTGAAGACTGGCGAGGACTGATGGGATGGGGGTAGGGAGACTGCTTCTCTTCATCTCAGCCACATTGCTCTCCAACCCCACTCCCCCTATCTCACAGCAAATACCACCAAACCATATCTTGGTTACCTCTCACCTTGACTTTTCTAACATACTCCTGAATTATCTCCCTGAGCTCCAATTCATCCAAATTACCACCATTGACAACGCACCTGCACGAAACACAACATACAATAATATTATTATTATTATTTATTACAATAAACCTTTCCTATGTTCAAAGTTACATGTCCCATTGCAGTTGCCAGCTCTTAAGGTTTGCGACAACAAAATTATGTCAGAATTATTTGTATCTTTGAGTGATACCACTGAATTTTAGGAATAGACAGTTCATTTAGTTTAGGGGAAGACCTCAGTGGTGTCTCAGCATCCCTGGCAGGGACAGATATTACTCACTGTCACTGTGAGTGGTTAGTGTTGCAGACCCCTCTTATGCCTCACTCTCACCTGCAGTTTCCCTCCCATCTCCATCACAACTTATAGCACTGAATCTACGCACTTGGAAGAAGGTTGTGCAGGTTAACGGTCTATCACAGTGTCCGTGGCGGCTCCGGCTTGCCCATGTGTGTAGACCCCAGACTTCATTTGTTCTTCCCAGCCCTGCACACAAGGCTGCAGATACAGTTACATCACTGAGTCTGTGGCAGATCCGGCTTGGCCAGGTGTCTAGGTCTGACACCTTTCGTTCTTCCTTGGCCTGTGCCAAAGGCTGCAAGGACTCCTCTAGTCCTGAAGAAAGAGAGAACACAGAAAGAATTGGACAAAACAACAAGAACAAGATTACATTTGTATAGCGCCTTTCACATCGGGAGGTCGTCCCAAGGTGCTGGACAGTATACAGCATTTCAAACACAAGCTGGGGTCAGGGTGGGATAAGGGAGAGGAGGGGAAGGGGGGTGACCAATGGCATGGTCTAAGAGGAGGGTTTTGAGGCGGGACTTGAAGGAGGCTAAGGAGGGGGCGAGGCGAAGTGAATGGGGATGGAATTCCAGAGGTGGGGGCAGAGTGGCAGAAGGCTCTCCCACCAATGGTGGGGCGGGTGTGTCGGGGGACATGTAGCAGGCCAGAGCCGGCTGAGCGGAGGGAGCGGGCGGGTTGGTAGGGGGTTAGGAGGTCGCAGAGGTAGGGGAGGCGTGGCCATTGAGGGCTTTGTAGTTGAGGACCAGGATCTTGAACTGGATCCTCTGAAGGATAGGGAACCAATGAAGTTGGGTGAGAATGATGAGATGGGGTCACGGACACTGGCTGCAGAGTTCTGGATTATCTGCAGCCTGTGGAGGAGGAGTTGGGAAGGCCAACAAGCAGGGTATTTTCATAGTCGAGCCTGGAGGTGATGAAAGCATGAACAAGAGTTTCAGGGACCTGAGGGATGGGGTGGTGATGGAGTCGGGCGATGTTTCGGAGGTGAGGGAAGGTAGAGCAGGTCATGGCTTGGATGCGGGGAAGAAAAGACAGTTGAGGGTCGAGCAAGACACCTAGGTTCCTGACTGGCTTGGTGAGTTGAAGTGTGCAACCATGGAAGTTGATGCTGTTAGAGCCTAAGGTGCAGAGGCGCTGACGCGAGTCAATCAGTCTTGTTCATATTCAACTGTAGAAAATTAAGCTTTTATACTGCTCAGACTCTCCCGCCCCATCAATCAGGATAGTCCATGTGGCTCCATTATAACAAACTCATTGCTTAGCGGACCCCAAATTGCCATTCCCAAAACTCTGTTACGTTAGTAAAAAAAAGTTACTGAATCAGTTGTATGCGAATCACAGTTTCATGAAATGTTCAAGATTATGAAAGGGGAGAGGTATGCAAAGGCCTGCTTGGAGCTGAACTGGCTCCGAGGTGACATGTTTGGCAATGGAATGTGGGAATGTGGTGGTCTCGGTACTCCTATTCCTGAGCCAGATAGGTCTGTAGTGCTCCAGGGCTGTGACTGCACAGCCAGCCTGGCGCATCAGCAAGACTTGGAAGGGAAGAACAGTCACTGGGGGCGGGGAATCCTCCCTCTCAGCTCATGCTAACCCTGCAAGCCAATTCCCTAACGTGTAGGGTGGTGCTAGCTGGACAAGCAGCAGAAAAACTTGCCAGATAGCAATACCAATGGCAAGCCATGTGGTTTTGGCTGGTTACAGTCCAGCAGTACACCAATGCACACTCTCGAGTCATCAAGCCTTGGCTCTTGACAACTTGCACTTAATACTTTCCAGAATTAGGTAAACTGGATGCATTCCCTCCAGGTAGAGACTGCGCATTCCATTCCAGCAAGATCTCTGGAATTCCCACGTGCAAATGTTTCGGATACTCTTAAGCATGGGGATGGTTGAGCATGGCAGTCAAATCAAAAAATGATTTAAGTTGGGAAAACAGCAGCACAGCCATGATTGACCAAATGGACTGGTTCTAATGTAACATTCTATGCAGTTCCAGAGGGTGGGGGCAGAATTGCTGAAGACCCACCCACCAATGTTAGTGGGGGGGGGTGGGGGAGCGAGGCGGGGGACATGAAGCCAACCAGAGCTCACTGAGTGCAGTGAATAGGAGGTTGATAGCGGGTTAGGAGGTTGCAGAGGTATGGGTGCGCAAGACCATGGAGGGCTTTGAAGGTGAGGACCAGGATCTTGAACGGTATCCTCTGTGTAATGGGAAGTCAGTGGAGTCGGGCAAGAATGTGGGTGATGGATCATGGAGTCTGGTGCAGAAGAGGATACATGCTGCAGAGTTCTGATGATCGGCAGCCTAAGGAGGGGGAGGCCAATAAGCAGGGAGTTTGCATAGTCAAGCCTGGATGTTATGAATGTGTATATGAGGGTGAGGGTTAGTGGCGTGTGGAGTGAGACAGTGGCAGAGCCGGGCATTGTTGTTTTAGGTGGGGGAAGGCACAGATATGTGGTTTTGGCTTGTTAGACTCCAGCAATATCCCAATGCACACTCTCGAGTCGTCAAGCCTTAGCTCTTGCCAACTTGCACTTAATACTTTCCAGAATTTGCTGAGTGTGTCGGGACTTCATTAATAAACTTCAGCCACCGCTGATAAAGTACATTTTCTGGTGCCTCGTCACCTCAAAAATAATAATCAAGCCTAATGGCAGAAGGTGTTTGAATATGATTTCCCTCTAACTTCATTTCCTCATTAGGTATCTGCCTTCAGCCTGGTGGTAAGAAACTGTAGGAAGAAACTGTAGTTTCTTCAGTAAGAAACTCAGAATACCATGCGTACTATTCTTTTGAGCTTTGAGCTTCTAAGGCAACATAATAATCGGCTACGTTTGGACTGGTATTTGTTTGACTTTGGGCTACAAACATATTTTAATTTCCTGGCAACCCTGCTTGCACATCGACCGACCTCAGGTCACCTCTGACCTTCTCAACTTCATAACCCTAAAGCAGGGTGACCGCACATCCCCATTTTCTGAGGACAGTCCCGGATGAGGAATTGTGTCCCTGGCTAAATTTGCATTTCTTATTGGGAGGATGTCCCAAAGCACTTCATAGGATTTACTATGAAGTGAGTTGACTGTAACAGCCAATTTGTGCACAACAATGTCCTAAAAACAACCATGAAGTAAATTACCAATTTTATTTGGGGAATTGCTGTCCAGGACACCGGAAGAAATTCCCTTCACTTTTTGAATAATGCCATGGGATCTTTAACATCCACCTGAACAGCCAGCCGGGGACTTGGATAAACATGTCATCCGAAGGACTGCTCCTCCAGTATATTGGATACTAATTGATAAATAAGGACCAATTGACGCATCGCCCGTCTCTCCGAAAGCTGCTGAAACCCTGGTCAATGTCTTTGTCACCTCTCGGCTGGACTGCTCAAAAGCCCTCCTCACCGGCCTCCCCTCCACTACCATCCATAAAATCCAGATTATTCAAAACTGTGCTGCCCGCATTCTCATCCGCACCAAACTCTGCTCCCCAATCACCCCAGTCCTTGCCAGACTGCGCTGGATGCCTGTCCCAGAGAGGATCATCTTCAAGATCCTCACCCTTGTCTTCAAATCCCTCCACTCCTCTGCACCACTCTCTCTGAACTCCTCTCTCCTCAAAACAGTGCCCGTTGCTTTCGTTCCTCCGGGTCTGGCCTCCTCCTTATCCCCTGAGTCCTCCTCTCCAGCCTTGGTGGCTGTGCCTTCAGCCACTACGCCCTGAAGCTCTGGAACTCCCTTCCTCACTCCCTTCGCCTCGCCCCCTCTCTTCCTATTTTCAGGTCTCGGCTGAAGACCTTTCTTTTCGACTGTGCCTTTGGTTACCTTCCTCTCCCGCCCCCTGGCTCATCCCCGGAATCCGTTACTGTGAGCGCTCTGAGACGCCGTCTGGTGTGGAGGGCGCTATATAAATCCAAGTTGTTGTTGTTAACTAGGACCAATGGAAAGAAATCAGGAGGGAGAGAAAGCAGAAAGAACTGAGTAAAGGGTGCTTGGTGTGACTGTTGGATTTTGTAACTAAAATGAAAGAGTGTTCTACACATGGTTTGTTGAGAACATAACACAGCAGTGCAATACCCCCCATCACCCCACATTGGACCAGAGTCGTGTTAGACTGGGTAGGTCCAACTGGCAGCCCTCGAGCCGAATCCGGTTCTGGGGGATGATTTCATCCAACCTGGAAACCATTTCCAATTTCTGGCCACCTGGCCCCAAACCCGCACGCCGCGAATGGTCCCCTCATTACAACAGCAGCAGCAGGGCGGGGTTTCGGCCGTATTCCCCCGGCGCCACCCCAGCTCCACCCTCATCTCGCGAAATCGCCCACCTGCAAAATCGTGCAGGGAACCAGGGCGGGGTTTCGGCCGCACTCCCCCTTTCTCGCGTGAATTTGCCTTCTACTGTTCGGGGAGTAGGCGTAAGAGCGCTCGGCTGCAGCGCATGCTTTGAGCAAAGCCGAGCGCGAGCGGAAGCCATTGGGGATGAGCAGCATGTGCTCCACACTCCACCCCACACACACACTAACCTTCCGTCCCCCCCTGCCCTCCCTCCTTCCTGAACCCCAGCTCGGTTCCGAAACACTGATTGTCCAGCACATTGGGACGGCCTCCCACCCTGAAAGGCACTATACACATGTAATTGTTGTTGTTGTTCGAATCACATCAGAAGCTAACCTGCGCTGGGGCTGGGAGTGTCGATCGCTGTGAGATGGCTTTCCCACATGAAAATGAAGATGTTTCAATATTATGTTCATGTTTCTGGAAAGGAAACAACAAAATATTGCTTATGAGGCCCGCGACCTTTCTCAAATCTGGCATCCAGCCCTCAGCAGCCAAAGGGTTGGACCAGCCTGTCTTAGTTGATGTGAGGTCAAGTCATGTGGGGCTTGAACCCACTATATGGGTCATAAAATAGTCCGTGTCAGAGTGGACGCAATAGACTGGCTGGTCTTCTGTTCCTGATTGCCTATGTACGTGTTAGTCTTCATTGGCCGGTAAGTGGCAATCGGATTACTCGCAAGGCCAGTGGTAAGTACAGTATTGTCTGCTTTGGGCAGCATATTTGATTGAAGTGATAATTATTCTATCACAGGTTATACTACATGTTGAAGTTTGGATCTCACAAAGTTAATGCTGTTACTGAAGCAAACATGGCAGAGGTATTGACCAGCAATATTCCAAACAATAAAAAAAAGGAGTCAATTAAACTAGTTATTTGAGATGAATTTTGCTGCAGAAGGGGATATTAGCCAGAATGACCTGAAGAAATTTCCTGTGCGTCTTTGAAATTGTGGTTTGGGATCT